AAAAAGATTTTTTATTTTTTTTTTCTGTATTTTGATGACGTAATATTGTAAAAACATTTTTACTGATTAAATTTCATTTTTTTTTGTTTATTTTCCATCATCATCATCATCATCATTATTATTAATTTTTTTTTTATTTTGATTTCGGAGGGAAAAAAGCCAAAAAAACGAAGCTTTCATAAAAATTGTTATTTTCATTCATTCATTTTTTTTTTTTTTATTTCGGTCTGATAGATTTCATATTTATAAAGAAAACTAAAAAATTTTTAGTTTTTAGTTTAGTGCTACCCATAGCACTGAAACCGAATATTTAAAAACTTTAGTAACTGAATAATAAATTCCCCTCCTTCCCCTCTCCGCCCCCCACCCACCGTAGATTCGTATGGTTTATTTGTAGTAAATCCCTTACATTTTTAAAAATTTAAACAACCAAAACAACGTTTCATTTTTATTTGTTTAGTTTCATATCGTCGTTTTTATTTACTCCAACAAACAACAACAACAACAACAAACGTAAAAAAAAAATTTAACTTTTATTGTCGTCATTTAAAAAAAAAAAAAAACAAAAACAAAACAAAGAGTTAAATCTCTTTTTTGACCTTTTTTTTTTATTTATCGATTTGTATACTTTTAAATTATTATTATTATCACTTATTTATTTAAAAAATAAATTAAACGATTATTATAATTATTTTATCAAATTAATTAATATATATTTATAATTTTTTCTTATTGAAAAAGCTTAATAAATGAACGTCAGTGTAGTCCGTTGTAGTCATTGTAGTCATTGTTTGCGTGTAAGTGACAGTTTTTAATATGATTATAGGTAACGCCAAAATAGAATTATTATCGGACTCAATTTTAACACGTTTTATCCTTCGTAAATCATATGTGACACACGACGTCGAGGACGTCGACGTCGACGACACAAATACGTGTTTCCATTTTCCTATTTAATCTTTAATATTATGAAAAAAAAATTCTATTTTTCTTTTCTTTTCTGTCTTTTAAAATTTTTCATTTTTTATTATTTTTTTTTTTGTAGAAAATATGACGTGAATCATTTTCTTCTGACACGTCATAAACCACCACAAACTCTCAATAAAATTAATAATAAAACGATCTTTATAAGCATTAAAAAAAAAATTTTTTTTTAACGTCATGATACGGCAATAATAATAATAATAATATTTTTTCACATTCGTAACGACGGACAGAACAAATAATAATAATAATTATTATTATTTATTTTTTTTTTATTATTAATCACGACGTTGTTGCAAATTTTTATTACAAATAATTTTTTTTTTTTCTGTTTCTGTTTATTTAACGTCAAAACTTTTTATTTTATTTTTTCAACCTACCTACCTACCTACCTACCTACGTGATTCGATTAATAAAAATTTACTTTTCCGTCTAATACGTGAAAGGATTTAACGTAATAAAAAAAAAAATAATAATAATAATAAAATTTATTTATATTTTTCACCGTCGTGTTGCATTTAACTAAAAAAAAAAATAAAAAAAAAAAAAACGTGAGTTAAAAAACGAAAAGAGAATAAATAAAAACAATTATTATTATTATTATTATTATTATTATTATCATCATAACTAGTTTAAATGTAAAAAAAAGGTGTTTAAACAGGCGTGTATGTGTGTGTGTGCGTGTGTGGCAATATGTGTGCGGATGTAGTTAAAAAAAAAAAATCCTCGTCGGAAAACAAAAAACGTCCAAAATCGTTTTAATACGTCACTGATTGAGGATTATTTAAACGATAGCAAAAATTTATTAACCGGATATACTTATGTATATGACGAAAGTTTTAATAATACGTATTAATATAATTAATAGTTATTTATTTATTAATAATCTAATTAAATTTATCTCTCTATTATATAAATGTATATAAAACACGTTTTTATTGTTAAAAAAGTGAGTTCCATTTGATAATTAGTAATTGTCATATTGAATGTTATGTTAGTTAATTTATAATCTTTCTCTCTCTCTCTCTCTCTTTTGATCCTTTCAGTTTGACTTAAAAGATAAAGTTTAAACAAAACCGGAAACCGTGGATTTATAACTTATATACATATATATAAAATTTAAGTAATTAAAATAAAAAATTTAAAAAAAAAAAAAACGTTTTTTTTTTTTCGAGTGGAATTCGTGTCGACATTCATTACTACTGATGTTTTATTTGTTTGTCTGTTTGTCTGTTTGTTTGTTTATTTGTTTGTTTTGTTTTTTACGTATGAAAAGTTTTTTTTTTTTTTAAAGGTTTTTAATACGTCGTCGTAAAAAAAATAAAAAAATAAAAATGTTTGTTAATTTTTTTTTTTTTTTCCTAATAAAAAAAAGGGTCAAAGAAACGTGTCGTTAGAAATGAGAGAGAGAGAGATAGAAAAGGTTTTTATAAAAAAAAACGACGTGGCAACCAAATATTTAAATAAAATAAATTATTAAAAAAAATTTATTAAAAAAAAAAAAAAATAAACAATTTTTTTTTTCCTATTGGGTTTGTAAAGTATTTTCGATAATGCCATTTTTTTTTTTTTTACAGTTCATCTCTTTCTCTTCATTTCATTTTGTTTTCATTTTGTTTTCCTTTTTATTTTCTCTCTCTCTCAAATTACCTTTGTTAAATGCTATTGAAAGAAAGAATAAAAAAAAAAAAAGTTTTTTACTTTTTTTTAAATGGAATAATAAAAAAAACTTTTCCTCCGAGGGAATTTTTGTGCCCGAACAAATATTTTGGTATGAGTGATAAAATGAAAAATTGGAAAGGATAAAAAAAAAAGGCGAAAACCTTTTTTTTTCTCCTTTTTTTTCCTTTTTTTTGGTGGAATGAGAAAAATGTTTTCACGGTAAAAAAAAAAAAAAAAAATTGTGGAAAACAACAAACCGGTTGTCGTATTATTTTATTTTATTTATTTATTTTTTTTTTAAATTCCATTAAATTTAATTTTCTCTCTTTTTCGTGTGGTATAAATTTTTCCTACGGATTTACTAAATTATTTTCTCCACTCAATTTGTACCTGTCGTATCATTATTATCATCATCACTACTAAAATTCATTTATTTCCTTTTAAAAAAAACGAATAAGTCACCGTATAAAAATAAATATATATTTTTTTTTACCCTAGTTAAAGTTCGTTAATCATCGGTCAACTTCGTTAAAAAAAAATTCAACCAATCAGAGATCAACGTTTTTTTTGGGGTATTTAAAATTTAAATACCCCAAAACTTGATTGTTTACACGCGTTTAAACGTTTGATGCTCGTGTTTGACTAAGTTTAGACTTTGTTACAAAAAGCTCATCATTTAAACCGCACAAAAAAATTTAGAAAATTTCGTTTTCGATATATAATTTCGAAAAATTTCACTTTTTATATATTTTTTCATGCGTAAGTTATTAAAATATCACAAAAAAAAAAAAATGTGAAAATGTGAAGAAAAAAAAAAAATCAATAAAATTTAACAAAAATCAACCACACCTTTCCAATATTTGATGAATCGAGTTTTCAAACTCTTGTTCAAATATAACCTAGTAAAAAACTTAAACATAAAAACACTTTTATAATTGCCATTTATTTTATATGAGTCAATAAAGTCTCAATATTAGAAAGTTAAAAGAAGAAGAAAAAGAAAAAAAGGGAAAAATTTAACGTAAAACTCTTAAAAAAAAAAAAAAAATTATTTTCATGTTGCGATTATTTCATTAAAATTTTAAATAAAAACGTAATAATAATATATAATAATAAGTAAATACCTGAAATTTCGTATGTGTCCCAAGGGACAGGTTCGCTACAAATTGATTTTGGCGGTACCGTTGAATTTTCACTTCTCCACCTTGTTTTTGATATTTCAAATTCCAATCTAAAAGAAAATTTTTTACGCATTAGTTAATATTTTCCGGAGAGGAAGTCATAATGTTATCTACTTACTTTTCTTTCCACGAACCGACTAAAACATAATCATATTTATCTTCTTCTCCTTTTTGATATTGAAATATACTATAACTTCCGTAAGCGTCGCCATCTTCGTTGAATCTAACATCCGTACCTTGCAATCCTAAATAAAAAAAATTTTTTTTTTTTCATTTCCGGTTGTTCTCTTACTATTCAACCTTATCCACGTAAAACACGTGATACTCACCAACAAACGATACGTTTCTTATATATTTAAGAAGTTTCGAACCCGGTGGCGTTGGTTTCATTGTTTCGCATAAAATTCCTGGATCACCGCATTCGTCTTTTAATATATTATGTGCAGCATAAGCCATGGCGTAAACGGCATCCACTAAAACGATAATAACATTTAATTATTATTATTATTATTATTAAAAATTACCCGGAGCGGGAACTCGGTTAAGATTTTTTTTTAGAAAAAAAAAAAAAAAATTATTTACGATGTCATTTGGTAGTGGAAAATTTCTTATATTAAAAACCTTAAACTCGCGGTTAAAAAATTCACCCTGTTCACGAGTTTAACCGTGAAATTTATTATTATTATTATTATTATTTTATAATCACTGTCGTCTGGTTTTATTATCATTCCTGTTGGTTGTAGAGAATTGAATTTTGCAACCTTTTTTTTTTATCACTAAAAAAAATTATTATTAATAGGAGAATTTAATCGAAGGAAAAGTTCGTTAAAAACAATTTAACCGATTGTTGTTAAATTATTATTATTATTATTATTATTATTATTAAACATGGCGTCGAATCGACTGATTTTTTAAACGTTTTAATAATTTCGATCAGTTTATAAATTTTTTTTTTGTGAAATGATCGAGAGAAAAAAAGTTTCGGAGACGAAAAAATAAAAAAAAATAAAATTTTTTTGTTTTGTTTTTTTTTTCGAGGGAGAGGAAAGGGGAGGGGAGAAGAGAGGGAGGGAGGGAGGGAGGGAGGAGGAGACGTTTTTTTTTTCATCACACAAAAAAATTCAACCGTTTAAAACCTTTTTTTTTTTTCTCTCTCGTCTTTTGTAATAAAAATTATTTATTTATTTATTTATTTATTTATCTCAACATAAGAAGTCCGATTACAAAAGAATATTGAAAATTCTTTTAGTGGGAGACCACAAAGCAAAAAAAAAAAAAGGAAAAAAAAAGGAAAATTGAAATAAAATAAAAAAATTTTTTAAATTCCTGTCGTAACCTTTTCAACTTTAACCCCACCCCCTTACCTCACCCACCCACCTCCCTTATTCAAAATTTCACGACAACCTAATTAAATTTTTTTTTTTTATTCACTATTTAATTTTTTTGGATTTATTAATAAATAAAATGAAAAAATAAATAAAAAATTTTTTCGTTTGGTTAAATTTTCTTTTTTTTTTTTGGCAGATAAAAAAGTTTCAAAAAATAAAAAATAAATAAATAACGTCGAAGTGTTTGTTGTATTGTTTGTTTTACAACAAAACAAACAAAACTATATAAATAATATATATTTTTTTTTATGTACATAAAAAAAAAGTAAAAACGTTTGGAAAAAATGGTTAAAAAAAAAAAAACTAAGACAAAATTTTAATGAAGGGAAAAAAAATGTTACGGAAACCCCTCCTCCCTCCCTCCCTGCCTCTCTTCCTCCTTTCCTTCCCAAAAAAAAAATTCTAGGAAATCTAGATAGAGAAAAAAAGGAAAATTTTTCTAAAAATAAAATTAATAAAAAAAAAAAAAATGAAAGAAAAAAAGAAAGAAAGAAAAATACAAAATCGAATTTTTTAATAAAAAAGAGAAAGTGGAATAAGAAAGTACGGTGGTTGTAGAAATAATAAAATTTATCCGCAAGCTTAAAAAAAAAATATTATTATTATTTATGACGTCACTGCTACGACGACGACGACAAACGTTTAATTACGTTGTAATTTATCTTAATAATAATAATAATAATAATAAATGATTTTGAACTTTTTTTTTTGTAATCCTGGATATTCGTTACCGACTTCAAAAATTAAATTTTTTCTCCCCTCTCCCCCCCCTCCCCCCTCTCTCTCTCCTTCTCTCTTTCTCTCTTTTTTTGTCTCGTCCTCCTCCCCAAAAAAATAATTTGACACATATGAAAACCTTTTTTTCGTTTAATTTTTCATCCTTTTTTTTTTAACCTTTCGTGCAATACACTGAATAAAACGAAAAAATTTCAATTATGTTTTTTTTTTTATTATTATTATTATTATTTACTAAATTAAAATTCATTTGCAATTCAATTTAACCTTTTTTTTCCTTTTTCTTTCCTTTGTTTCCTTTTTTTTTATTTAAATCGAACGTAATTTATTAACAAAAAAAAAAAAAAATAAACAATAAAACAAAACCGAAAACGACGACAACGACAACGAAGACAAAAGTTTTCTAATTTTTCTTACTTTGTCTTATCTTTGTTCTAAATTTATTTCTTATTCAAATAATAATAATAATAATAATAATAATAACAATATGGCCGTCGGGTGTGATTCGTAAAAAGGATTTTCGGTTTTTTGGTCATGAAAAAAAAAAAAAAATCGAAGAAGAAAAAGAAAAAGAAGAAAATGAAGAAGAAAATTTGTTTTTTTTTTTTCGGAAAAATAAAAATATTCAATAATAAAATGGGAAGGGGAGGGGGGGGGAAATGAATGAATGAATAAGAAACATTGTGTCATTTTTTTTTTTTTTATTTGCAATCGGAATAAAATTTTTTATTATGCTGGAGTGTCAAAGGTCAAACTAGGAAAAAGATTTCGATGGAGGAGAGAAGGGGGGAAGTGGAAAAAAATCCCAAGTTTTTTTTTCTTTTTAATATTATTGAGTCAGGAAAATTATTTTAATAAGGAAAATCCAGGGGATTTATTTATTAATAAAAGTTTGTTGTAAAATTTTTTTTTTTTTTTGGAAAAAGATTTTTTTTTTTTCCAGCCATGAAAAATATCAAAAAGTGTTTTCCGTTTTATATTTAACGATTATAAAATTAAATTTATTACGTTTCTTAAAGTTATCATCTCCAGATGAGTTTATTTTAACGGTTTCATTAAATTTTAATGTTCTCATTTATAGTTTTTTTTTTTTTTTTTTTTTTCACTCAAGTTTTTAATGTTGGTCAAATTGGTCACTTGAGAGTATATAAAAAAAAAGAAAAAAGAAAAGTTTCGTTTTATAATATTATTTTAAAGAAAAAAAAAATTTTACCGAAACAAATAAAACTTTTTTTTTTTTTTTAACGTTTTCCTTTTTTTTTTC